GCTGGCAGGCCCGGGGTGTGGGATAGGAAGCGGGTGGAGGCTGCGGGGGCCCTCGCCCAAGGACCCCGCCCCGCGGGATGACGGTTTGGGTCAGGGGCGCACTTCCGCCCTCCCTCCCGCCCGGCGCCCCCGGCTCCGCGTAGGGGTGGCCCCGACTTCCTCCTCCAAGCGCCGGAGGTCCGGGGCGAGGCTGGGTTTTTCTTCCTCCCGGGGCTGCGGAGCGGTTCCTCCTCCTGGCCTGTCAGCGGGTCCGCGCGAGTCGGCCACGGTGCAGCCTGGCGTTTGGTGGGAACGCAGCCTGGGTGGCTCGACGTTGTAGGAGAGGCGCGTTGGTCTGTGGTGGCGAAGAATCAGGAGGAGCCTGGAAGTCTCTCCTCCGAATAAGAAGTTTCACTAATATTTGATACATGTCCGGTTTCCCAAAGCGCGTTCGTTGGAAACGCGCTGCCAGATTCCTTCTGATGCGTGGATCGAGTGAGGCGCGGATCAGCCCGCCCTGCAAACCTAGCCTCTGCTTCGTTTGTTCGTTTATTTGGTTTCGATATTCCAAAGAAGGCAGGGAGGTATGCCTTGCTCTCCTCTTTATCTTGTACTACGCCAGTCCTGGAGGGTAAGATGGGCTGAGAGAGGCCTTGCAGCCGACCCAAGAGCTTCATGGGTGAGTGGGAATTTGAACTCAAGTGTCCCTAATCCTACTTAGCAACTGAATCTGCCTGCAGGCTTCTGCTGTTTGTCTCAGCATTCATTATTTATGAAGGTGAAGTCAGTTTTTTGAAACAGTTTTAGATAGTTTGCAGACCAAAAGATGAAGTGTCCTTGGTGTTTTTTCTTCCTTCATTGACTTGCTCTTTTAAGATTAGGTTATACGTGCTGAAAATCAGAGTGGAAAGGAAGTGGTAGAATGGATTGAACCAGATAGATACAGAAAGCACTAATATAAAGGGGGTGGGGAGGAGAGTTCCTGGTAATTTATCAAATAATTTGTTAAAGCCCATCTTTATTAACTAGCATTTTACAGGCCGTAGATAAACATATTTTCATGACAGCATCAGTACACTGATTTTGGTTAAGCATTCTCGTAATTAATTCCTCAGGGGAGGGCAGTGCATGTCTATTGGCTGAGAGTCTCACAACACTGTACATACTGTTGTGGGCCAGGACAGCCAAGGGCCTTGATGACCCACTTTGTAATATGTCTATTAGCAAGCAATGCAGAGTTCACAATTGAATTCCTTCTCTTTTCGTCTCCTCTGTCTGAATATTGTGGTTGTGAGAACTGAGACACTGTCTTACCTCAAGGTTCTTCTCTGTGTTAGCTTTTCTGATATAGGAATTAATATTTGTGTTGAAAATTGTCCTCTTCCTGAAATATGCCTGGAACAAAATAAATGTTTGCATGACTACTTGATATGGTGTTTTACATGTTTTGGAGAACATGTGAAGCATCAGGGAACATTTCTTGGCAAATAATGATCTGGTATAGTGATTCATAAGGATCTGCTGTAAGTGGACTGTTAATTGTAGTTTAAATTAGATTGAGAATCACTTTATTTTCTAGTCTGAGACTGAGCATGCATTTTTCTCATGTAAAGTATTTGAATTGTTGTATGTTATTTTTATTAGTGTATATCAAGTTGTACTTTTAGAAATAAAGTATAAGTAATATCAGCTTCATAATACAGATGTTTCTGGTTTTATGGCAGATTACAGGTAGAGATATTTATGGCTGCATTTTTCTCCATATCAAATTTAATATGTATATATAGAAAACTAGCATGTCAGGAGAAAGTTTAGAATTTTACTTCTTTTGTAGCTTTCTGTTTGCAAGGATACTTTTTAATATGGGGAAATAATCACTCACATGAATGGGCATACTTCAAATTGTATCATTACATAAATGCGACTGCAACTCCCAGCAATCCTGGCCACATCATAAATAGAAAGGACTCTTGGGAGTCATAGTTTAGCAACATCCGAAGGGCTAGGGCTTCCTCCCTCTGACATACACTCTGTGAGGAGTACTGAACCATTTTGAAGCTGGTTTTCTTTTGAAAAGTACAAACTTTATTATTCAAATTTGGTGGAGCTACTTGCCTCCAGCTGAATTTTTCAAATAAGTATTTCTATTTATCCTGAAACAACATAAAACTGAGATACTTAAATCAACTAGTACCCTACAACTCTGCTGAGCTATATTGTTTCCTTCCTTTCTTTTCAGTCATCAAACTGGAATCTTAGGGAAGATTCTTCAGCACTTTGGTTGTGATAGAAGGGTGTAGAAACATGTAGTGAATGATGTTGGTGTACTCTAGATTTAGTAGTATTTTCTTTTCATTGTTATCTCATGATCTGAATTTCTTTTTCTCACCATTTCATATACCTTTTCTGTATTTTACATAATGTTGCTTACCTTGGAAGGGAATAACAGATAGGTATGTATGCCGTTCTCCATACTCACTAGAAAATATAAAACCTTATTAATTCCCTTTTGGTTCCTCTCCCATGCATCTACACCCCTCTGTATTTATACTGATTCATTATATTTCATTATTCTTTTTCACCAGTTTTGGGAATCAGTGCTGCATGAATCATATGCCAGAAATTAGAATGGGCTTGTGGGATTGATAATTCACAGTTTGAGCTGAATTCTACAGCCATTATTGCTCTTCCTTCCCATCTATAATTGTGTTGATCTAATGCTTTGCTTTATATGAATTATATCCTCACTTTTGGCTTGTTATAGCAAAATAATAGTTTCCCACATTCCTGCCATATTTAGGCTTATAGTAGCAATTTGTTTCATAGTTTTTAGAAAGGCAGTTACATTCTCTGTGTTGGGAAGATGTTTTGTTTGTATGAAATTTTCCATTTTTTTGGTAGTTTTACCTATCTGGTGGTAAGTGAAACTCAGAGAGTGACAAAGGATCTTTGTTTTTTTTCTCTTGGGATGGGGAGGATCATTATTATGATACATACTCATTATTTTGATGTAGAAAAAAGCCTCACCAACATATTTTTAAAGCTTCAGAAAGATCTGTTATGCACAAACATACTTATAAATGTAGGGGTATGCTACAAAAGTTGTAATTCTTATTTTTTTGTGTGTCCCATGACCTCCTCTAGGCTACCTGGAATTATTTTCCCTTAGTTTTTCTTTCCTGCTTGCAAAAGAGTATCTCTGATTTAGTTACATTTTTTCATTTATATCTTGTTGGGTTTTTTAAATTATTATGATTTATTATTAATAAATTATTATTAGATTTTTATCCTGCCTTTTTATATATAACTCAGGTAGTAAACATATCTAATACTTGTGCCTCCTATTTTCCCCACAACAACAACAACCCTGTGAGGTGGGTTGGGCTGAGAGAGAATAACTGGCCCAAAATAACCCAGACAGCTTTCATGTCTAAGGCAGGCTTAGAACTCACAGTCTCCTGGTTTCTAGGCCACCACTTTAGTCAACACATCAAACTGGCTCTCATTTTAATCCAGAGCTAACTGGAAGTTTTCCACTGAAATAGAATAGTTGTTATAGAGATATCATTATTAAAATCTGTCTGGTTGAAACTCTTAAAATTGCTTTTCTTCTGTTTTGTTTAAACAGAAGAAAAGTTGGCAGATATTTACATGCTGCCTTATTCTTTATTAAGTTAGATCTTGTCCACTAAGGAAAACTGTGGTACAATAATTGTTCTTATTACAGAACAGGGAGGTACTCCTATAATGCATTGCCCGCTGAGAGCAAAAAATACTACATCTGTATATTAACCTTAGCTTCCTTAGGAAATTAGGAAACCTCCATTTTCCTAATTAACAAGGAAGTTAATACAGATAGGCATTTTCATAAGCAACTGTTCTGATTGTGATTCACTATTGGTACCATGGAGTATTATTGGTATTGGTATTATAGTATGGGCTTTTTAAAAATATTCAGTTAGGTTATTCAGTGCTTGATCAGCATTGTTTGATCAAAGTTCAGTTCATCCTGCAAAGTTCAAAACAACAGGCAGACACACACACACACACACACGCACACACACACATGTGTCCCTACATTAAAAAAAAACTAAAAGTCCAAGATATGGCAAGACTTTTGCCCTGTGTTAGAAAGAAAATAAAGCAAATGCTATGCAAACCTCCTTAAGGAAGAAATTCTGAAAACAGAACACTATTAAAAAGGCCCTGGTTCCCTTCTGTGATTGGTCTCCCTTTTTCTCTCTCTTATTCCCTCCTCCTACGCACATGCAAAGGGAAAGATGCGCTTGAGACAAGCCCAGTCCTGGAAATGACACTGAATATTCATTTAGTTTTCTTGGTAACATACCACCTCAGAATAAGATGCATTTTGAAGCATTCCTCAGAGTGCAGTCTCATCTTTAAGACACATTCTTAGGCCTTTACATATCAGAACCAGCATTTTAAAGTCTGTTGATTTGGAGGTATACACGTAGAATGAATGAATGAATGAATGAATGAATCTCAGAAACATACTTACAGTAGTTTCTGTAGTAACAGAATACCTGTTACTACAGGTAACAAAATTCACTGTTTTGAATA